CGGAATAAACTATTTTTAATATGGATCACATACAGTAAGCGAATTAAATTAAGTACTTAACAACTGAAAAGGATATCTAATTCATCCTTTAAAAAAAAACTCATTCGGTTTAATTATAATGTTTAATAATATAAAGGTATCATACAACAGCATAAATTGATATTATTATGCGGTTTCATAATTAAAATATGAAGCTATAACAGGATTCCCTCAAATATCGCTTTAAATAGAAAAGGAATGTCCGTCTTAAAATTATTTGTCGTACCAACCGTTCTCGATTATTTTCACAGAGAACTATAATTTAAAACTTGCTCAGTTTTAATTTATCCCCTATAATTAAATTCATTGAGTAACTAAGCATATATTTAAGCATATATATTACTTCGAATATTCTGCATGGTGGAAAAAAAAAGGCTATGTTTATAGATAAGCATTATTATTAAATATTCCACTAAATGGCAAATTCGGTGAAATAATATTTTTTAGAGATTTTCACTCTGACGGAGTCTCGTATTTGGCAAGACGCTTCTTCAACTCGTCAACCTGGTTTTCCAGTACCTCGTAGCTCGGTCGGGTCACCTCACCTTCCAGAAGACCGTGTTCGATCATCCAATTTTTGTCGGCAAATTTACCCAAGTAATTGCGGAGAGTGTCTGGTAGGATGACAACACAGCGCTGGTCTTCACGAAGGTCCTTGGCTGCTTTCAACGCAGCCGCAAGCGCAGATCCGCTGCTGCCCCCCACCATCAGTCCCTCAAGAGAGCTCAATTCCAAGGCAACCTCAAAGCTCTCCTTATCATTAACTTTAACCCAGCGATCTACACGATTGCGCTCACAAACCTTCGGAACGAAATCATAGCCGATACCCTCGACCAAAAATGGGGACACCTTATCGTGCTCGGGGTCCGCGAGAAGGCTTCCAACGGGGTCGGCGCCAACAATCGTGATGTTCGGGAGTAGCTCTTTGAGACGTCTGGAGATGCCCGATACAGTGCCACCAGTACCAGCGGCGCTCACAACCATATCGACCTTCCCATCACACTGATCGTAGATCTCCATCGCAGTGCCGTCGTAGTGTGCTTGAGGGTTGGCTGAATTATTGTACTGGTCGAGCATGACGTAGCCTTTCTCCTTCACAAGACGATTCGCTACACCGAAAAGACTGTCAGGGTGGTCGGACGGCACCGACGTAGGTGTCCGAATAACTTTCGCGCCTAGCGCAGTCATTGCCACCTCCTTCTCGTACGCCATCTTCTTCGTCATGGTGATGACCATTCCATAGCCACGCACCGCAGCAGCCATGGAAAGTCCAACGCCAGTATTGCCACTGGTCGCCTCCACCAAAACGGAACCAGGCTTTAGTCGACCTTCAGCCTCAGCAGTGCGTATCATATTCATCACCACACGATCTTTTACACTGCCACCAGGATTGAGGTACTCACATTTGACG